AGAGAGTAATTAAGCAATGAGTACATGCATATCATAAAGTTACTTTGGTTCTATGCTAGAAAAGTCAATCATTAACGCTAGTGTCCTATTTAGATAATTGATTGAGAAACTTAGGAAGAAAAGAAAAGAAAATATTCTACATGTTCTTATTGATTAAGATAAAGCACGCAATATGATACCTGTAGAGTTAATATGATGGGAGTTCCAAAGGAAATGAGTCTCTAGAGGATATATTGATATGGTAAAGGCTATGTACAAGGAAGCGTTAACAAGTATGAGGACAACTGCCAGACAGAAGATATATGAGTTTTCAGTGACAGTAGGCCTACATTAGGGGATCAGCATTAAGCCCATATCTCTTTGCTTCAGTTATGGACAGGTTAACTAGGCATCTAATATAACTTTGATTGATAAGACAAGAGAGGACGTCAACATAAAGTTAGAACCTAGAAGGGATGCTCTAGAACATAAAAGTATTAAATTGATCGGACGAAGACTTAATATATTGAATGTAAGTTTAGTAATAACATGAGTAGAAATGAAGAATTAGTTAAGATTGATGCTAGGAAGAACCTAAAAGAGATTATTTTCAATGTCTTTGGTAGATAAACCATAAGAATAAAAATATTGAACCAGAAGTCACGCATAGAACTAGAGTTGGGTGGACGAAGGGAATATGTGCTTCTGGAATGTTATGTGATTTCTCATAAAAATAAAATTGAAGGGAAAATTTTATAAGACGGTTGTAAGACCAATGATGCCTTATGGGATAGAATGTTGAGTGTTTACGAAATAACATATCCATAGAATGAGTATGTTTGAGATGAGGATGTCGAAATTGATAAGTGGCAAAACAAGAAAGGAAAGAATTCTAAATGAATTCATCCAAGAAAAATTAGAGTTTGCTCCAATAGGTGATAACAATGAGGGAAAGTAGATTCAGGTGGTCTGGTTATATGCAGCGTCGACATAAAAAATATCGTTAGGAAGTGGATTTGGTTCAAGTGGAAGGCTCTAAAAGGTAAAATGAAAGCTCAAAAGGACAATGATAGAAGCAGTGAGAAAGAGATAAGTGACTTATAATCTTAAACTGAGGGTATGTCCTTTAATATGTAGAAAATTTGTTGGGTGAATTGAGGGTAGAAAATGGTATGATTTCAAAAATAAGATATAGAACTCTTATTATTTTCGGGCACCATGTGCATTATTTCAAAACGATATTTGTCCCTTTTCGATATAGTATTTAATGTGCATAAGAAAAGCAAATTTGTCATCAGGATACAGGAAAACAAATATGTCTTTTGTAATGTTTCTAAGCTCTATGTGCCCTAGCTCAGAGCCCACACACTAGGCATCAGAGTCTTGATGTATTAAAGAGAGAAAGAGATAAAAAACAAATACAGAGAGAGAGGGAGATAAGCCCGTTGTTGTGCTCGCTGGAATTGCATAGAAATGTGCATTAAGAGGCTCAAAAATATGATCAAAAAGTTTCTCATATATGAGAGAGGCCCCATATTGTAAAGCTACAAGGAGGCTGCACATTTACTGTACCATCAACGGCTATAAATGACATGATCTTTAACTCTCTTGATGGGTTACAACCTCCTTTTGCCTCCATTTAATCAATGGCTAGATGACCGTTGGATCCCTTAGTTGGGCTGACAAAAAAATAACGCGTCGCACATGTGCTCTGGCGAGGGGTGCCTCATGCGAAGTGCAAAGCACGCCATCAAACGCACATGCACGTACTCCATGCATGCATCATCTCTCACATCTTTGTATTAAGAGTATATTGTATGGGAATACGTGCTCTTAAATATAGCTCAATAAACTCTCTCCTTTTCAATGTGAGACTTAAATCCACATCTTTCTCTCTCTACAATAAAGTTTAGGAAATAACCCATAAAACCTTGTTGTTTAGAAATACATATAAGTATTTTTGGAAACCAAAAATATTAACATGATAGACTGGAATAGTAGAACAATATTAGTGTAGTCAATCTCAAATAGTCGGAGTAAAACTCAATTCATGATAATGATGATGATATATCTCGAGATAGGTGATGAATTGTAAGTTTTTTAACGGGAAAATTTCATATAGAATCCTAATTCTTCGTAGTATTTTATTGTAGACCCTCCTTTCGTTTTTCTTTCAAGCAGCATAAGAAAACCTCTAAATATTTCATCATATTCCATCATCTTATCTCCTTCTTTTATTGACTTTTGATCATAAAAATTAACCCCAACAAATCTTTTTTTTCTATTTTAACCTAAAAACTTTTTTAATGGGTAGAAAGTGAAAAATATGATTAACATTTTTTTTTGGGATGAAATGGTATAAAAATATTTGTTGAGACTAATTTTTATGGTCAAAAGTCAATAAAAGAGGAAGATAAGAGATGAAAGAGTATATGAAATTCTTAAAGATTTCCTTATGCCGCTTAAAAGAAAAAAAAAAAAAGAGGTTCTACTATGAAATAATACAAAGAATTATGGTTCTATACAAAAATTTTTCTTTTTTAACATAAAAAATAACTTTTTTTTATGGATTTTTAATGTGCTCAATGTAATCTTCTATAAAATTTACGTTTTCTAAACCACATATCACTAACTACTGGCGCACTTGTACCTTTCTCAAAAGTTAACTGTTCTCACTTAGTGATTCAAAAAATACGAGTCCACACGAAATCGATCGATCCAAAAAATTAATCACCACATTTCAGTTTTACGTATATATGAAAAAATGACCAGGCTTAGAAGGAAACAAGCGATTCGGCATAATAAAACAATGACTCTCTACAATAAGACAGCGATTTATTTTTTTAAACCATTACTTTCTAGCTGGAGACACCACGCCGCAACCTGTGCAAGGATTTTCTTGAGTGCAAATTTGTATTATGTAGAGAGAGAATATTGCCATGTGCACATTCTAGGGCCGGCTGGCTATTAAGAAGCGTTATCCTGTGCGTTATTGACTTTCGTAAGTGGAAAAGCTGTCTAGATCCAACCTAGGTTTTACGTTTTTTTTTTTTTTTTTTTTTTTTTTTTTTTTTTGGGTAATTAGGGTCTCAGTGGAAAACCCACAAAGATGAGAGTGTGGTCAGGTGTCGCAAGTGGTAGGAATCGTAGAGGAGTTTGTTTAGATCAAATGGTCAAAATACCTCAAAAATCACTCAGATAAAGGGGTTGCCTTAAAATATGGATTAGGTCTCAATGGATCCGCCCACTCATCTATTTAAATGAGTTCTCTCTCTTAAATCTAATTTAAAGCTGGGTTTCAGAATCAAAATTTTAGGGAATGAATATATGAACTATGATGAGTAAAAAACTATAAACATAAAAATGAGATTTTTTTTTATATACAATTTTAGCGCCACCAATATTAAATTTTAGTGGGACTCCCATTTGTCTTAGCATCTATCTACAAGACCGTTGTTTATGCGTGAGTGGACACCATTGTGCGCTCCCTAATGCAAGAACTGTTTTTCCTTAAAATATTTCACTTGCTACTTCCTCAACTATTTTGTAAGAGAAACCCAATATACCTCTATTAGGGATGCAAGACCCTAATATATAATAGGGTGGCAACAAGCTGGGACAACCTTTGTTCTTGGCCGGCCCCAGCCCCAGCCCCAGCCCCAACCCCAGCCCTAGCCCTAGCCCTAGCCCTAGCCCTGTTAGGGCCGAGCTGGTCCAAGCCAAGAAAAAATAAAAGAGAAAACAACGAAAATAGAGGGTTGGGCTAGGTCAAATCAAGGAGGCACTAGCCCTAGCCAGCCATAGTTATGGCCTAGGCCCCACTTTTTAGGGCCGGGCAGGGTTGCAAGGCGCATTGCCAACCCTAATAAATAACCATATTTTGGTAATTTTGTCCCCTTAAATGGGCCCCTGTCAAATTATTCCAAGTGCCAAAAATTATATACATATCTTTTTCATTAAAATCTCTTGTTCTGAGTTTCAAATAAGGAAGAAGATGAGACATTTTGATAATTTAATCCACTTGTATCATGAGCCAACTTACCAAAAATACGCTTAAAACTTTGAACAATGGCATTTTGGGCCTTTTTAATAATAAATACTTGAGGTACTTGAATGAGACGATCTTATAAAAGTAACCATTATGTCTACAAGTTGGTTGATTTTGTAATTCTTTTTTGGTGATTTGACTATTTCACTAATATTCTGCCCCAGAAAATTGGATCCTAATTTCAATTTTTGGTGCCACCAGTGATCTAACCAAAATGTATAGATATTTTTCCATTTCACAAATTTTTAGAGAGAGATATTTACTAAGATATCATAATGTCAATTTAGTGAGGAAAATATAGTGTCCAGATGACGCGGACGTTTAAAGGATGTACAGTACCCTCCCAATGTCTCATACTAAAAGAAAATAAAACATAGAATCAAGATTATTTGTATTATTTATTTTTAATTATTCTACAATTAATATTAAACTTGAATTTGCGAGCGTGAGCATCCACAAGGTCAAATTATATTTTTTTCAAATTATTTTTTATAAGGTTTTAGATGGGCATTAATGTGCCACAAAATCCAACCAAGGTTTTGAAACCTGATAGTCCGTCTCATAAATAGTCGATCCAGAATGGGAAACGATCCCGACCCACCCAGTTTCTTATCAAAATCAGGAATTTGTCCGGTTTGGACTCGCTTTTATGGGCCAGTTTGGACTCGCTTTCTTATAAAAATCGGTTAGAGCCAATTAAAAACCGGGCGTCCAGTTTTCTTATTAAAACCACCCCATTTTAGTAAAGCTCCCACCCGATTATGATAAGAAACCAGGAATTGTCCGGTTCAAATCCAAGGGTCCAACGTCCACAAGATTCCATCCCATTTAGTAAAGCTCCCACCCGACAGTCTTATTACAGGAGGGGATAAGTTCTTCCATATGTCACAGACAAAATATGAAACCAAAGTCAGCCAAACATAACATACACAGTACAATTAACACCACATTATGACCAATGCAGTTCAATCAATGCATAAACCCACAACATACGAGTTTAATCGCGACGAACCGCATTCAAGCCAGGATATGCTTTTACAGAGGCGAACATATAGATATAATTACTTTGCGTGAGGGACACATCTAGATTAAAAAAAAACTTACCCATAAACAAATATGATCCTAACCTACCCATTACTAAACAAAATTTATCCTAATCTACCCATTACCTACTTAAAGGCAAATGGGTAAATGCAATTTCTTTTATGATGAATTACCCTATTACCTACTCAAAAGGCAAATGGGCAAACACAGTGCCTTTTATGATGAATTACAGGGTATGTACAAATGACATCCAACATATTTGGATGCATCAACAGAGAGTTTCAACTCTGAATCATGGAAATATATATGGGAAAATATCACTTATGGGGTCAAAACCACATAGAGGGGAAAATATCATTTTTAGGGATAAAAAGCCCTACCAAAATCATTAAGTGGGTAAAAAGTCTCAATTAATATTAGAGGGTACTCTGGGGCCTTCTAGGTGGGACCAATTGCCTAAATACCCCTTGATGGCCAAGGGCTAAATATAATTTCTTTTATGATGAATGGCAGGGTAAGTACAAATGACATTCAACATCTTCGGTATGTCAACAGACTTTGAACTATATACGGGAAAATATCACTTAAGGGCCCCATAAAGGGGAAAATGCCAATTTTAGGACAAAAAGCCATTGCAAAATCATTAATGGGTAAAAAATCTCAATTAACATTAGAGGGTAATTAGAGGGTACTCCAGGGGCCATCTAGGTGGAACAAATTGCTTAAATATGCCTGGTTGTTCACGTTCCTAACCTTGAACAAGGACAACATGGGCATTTTTAAGATATTTTTTGAAAAGGCACCCAAAGAAAGTTTCAAAGCAAGCGCTTTGATGTTAATTGTGGGGTTAATGTTTTGACCCCTTAATAACTTTGTATGGGTATTTGACACCCTAAATGATATTTCTCCAAATTATATTCCAAATTATGTCAACAAAGTTAGAAATGTAGAGCACAAAGTTAGAAACCCTGATCCTAAAAATTCAGAACCACATTCGTGAAACAAATCCATTAGAACAAAAATCTCCCCCAACCCTACAACTTCAAGAAAGATGAGAATGATCTTCTTGAACTAGTATTGAAAACAGTATATAAATATTCAGACTCTGTTGCATTCAAATCATCATTAACCTATGCTTCCCGAATGAACCTTGTAAACAGGGAGGAACCTCATGATTCTATGCCAAAATATACATTTAATGCTTTCAACAATTACTAAGGATCAAAAGATACAAATGAGAAAATGGGATCCTTTATCAAAGCCTTACATAGGAATAAGTCAGTTATAGCCTCACAAACCGAGGAACCTTGGCAAGTACTGATCTCAAACTCCGGATACCAGCTCCAGTCTTTGAACTAACCATCATCTAGACATGATTATTTGACATTAGAAGAATGGCTCCCACAAAGATCTTAGCCATGAGTGCAATTTATTAGATTAAGGGTTTGTTTGCATGTACTCATAAACATTGATAATTCACTGTTTCAACAAATTTAATCCTAATGATGAATATTTGGTAGGGTCCCTTGCAAAAAACTATCTGAGATAACTTGTAGGTTGTTTCACATATAAGTTAAATTTTTTGAGAAGTTTTTATTACTTTATTCAAAGTAATTTTACAAAGGGTAAAGTTTATATAAGGTGTCATCATTATACTATTGATGTAAGGCACACCTCAAAAACCCATCGGAAAAGGTTGTTCCGATGCTAAAACTTTAAAACTAGTATAGATCGACAGATCTATGCAAACTTGAAAATCTTGAAAATTGACGGTCCAAAAATATGTTACAAAATGCACTATTTCCAAAACTTGAAATCCATTTTTTTCTCCTGTCCATGCATCTTGATGTCGAGATGATCAATTTGAAAATATTTGGGCATCAAAACAACCTGAAATTTTTGAGGTAGGCTCAAATTTCATTGCTTGGAGCCTCGGCTCTGTATAAACTTTTTCCTAAAAATAATGCATCTTGTAACACATTATCTAAACCATCTATTTTCGAAATTTTTTATCATTTTTACATATGCTTGAACTGCATCACTTTTTAGTTTTAAATTTCAGAAATAGGGGTGACAATAAATTTTCATACCATCGCTATGCTTTCCAACACCAAAACTGCATCTTTCAACATAGTTTTGATATGCACCTTAGTTCAATAGTATAAAAGGTTGACACCTTAAACAAACCTTACCCGTTTGTGAAAATCACATGTTTTTACCCAGAAATAACTAAAAATATCTTAAAAGTGCCAAAATAATTGAATAATTAACAAATATTAGCTATAATATAAGATATGTACCAAACAACTACGAAAATAATTTACGCAGAGTATATATTAGTTTCAGATATGATTGTACTCCTGATAAAATTAATTGTCATCCAAACAGTTCCTAAAATTACCAACAAATTGATGATAGCCATAAATAAGGGGATAAACATAGCATACCACTGGCTGAACAATGGACTTGTTCTTCTTAAGGGCCTGTAAAAAAATTAACCCACATTTTCAATATTTTAGAAAATCAGGGGATGGTGTATCTACACTACAAATAAAAGAGAAGAGAACAATAGAGTGAGTGTTTGATTGATCACCTCCCGCACTTGCATCGCACGACGAGCCACATCAACTGGGAAGACGGTATCTGTCTTAGTTAATACGATTTGATATTGAGTTTGTGACCTGATAAATAGCAAAAATTAAGTCAGTATCCCTCCAGATCTTTATGGCGTCTACACATGTCATGCACAAGTAATTGTTCCCGGGAATTTTGTCAAAGCTTTTAGCAAGATTTTAATTGAGTTTCCACCAAATTTCTCAAGACTTTTCGCTAAATAAAAAACTCAAAGTTTTTTATGCTTCAGTTGCCATGGGTTTTAATGCACTGCTCTTACACAGCGTATCATCCCATTGCAAGTTCATAATGTGCAAGTTCATAATGCTATAGGAAAGAAAAGAACTCTTGAGGTCTATCCTCTCCTATTTTAAAACTTGCCTTTGGGGTGGCATTTTCACTACTGTCACCAATTCAAAGGGTGATAGCAAGCCTGCTGCATTGACCACCAATACAATAACAACCAAATAATAAAAGAATCTTCAGGAAAAAAAATTTCTTAACGCAAAATTTAATCCTGTGACCATGCTATGAAAAGAATGTAACAGTCACAAAACGTAGAAGGGTGAGGTTGATTTACTTCTCCATCAAGTTGATGAGCTCCTGGTCCCTTGGTTTCATACCCCACTTGGTATCAATCAGCAGACAAACTCTCTTCAGATTAATTCGTGTGGTCACATACTCCTTTACCTGCAATGACAGGAAATCAGGGCGGGTTACTCACTTACTCCATTCACAAAATGGTGCAAACACTTAAATTTCTTAAGAATATTATGCACGAAAGGCAATCCCCTCATCTCTATATAATCAAAGCCACCATTATGTGTTCATATCCACTTTTGTATGTGCATTCCAGCAGCAATTAATTGGGGGGAGGGGGGGAGGGAAAGATTATCTCAAGTCTCATGGGATGGCTACTTTCAGGGTTTCTATCTTTCCGGGAGGCCATAAGAGGCAGGTGGAAGGGCCTCCCTGCCCTAACACCCAGCCAATAGCCCCAATACATACTTTCTTGGTGTTACTTTCAGGTTGGTGTGAATTGGCTGATGGGTAAACCTGGCTTCTTTTGTGGGGGCAATCTGCATGATCCATCAAAGCCTAGAAATTTTTTTCAAATTTTTGTTGAGAAAGTGAGCTTAGGAGCTTCATTTAAAGTTAGCAAGTTTGTATCAATGGGTGTCATGAAAATTAATGACCTAAACTTGGTCAGATAATTTTCTAAGGTCTACTGTAACTTTTCGACCTCAACTTACTCAAGTAATTTCCAGCAAGGGGCACTTTGGTTATTGACCACACTTGAGGTAAAGACCAACCCACAAAACATTTCTTTTATTGTTACATACTCGACACTTAAAAGTATATTATTGGAAGACACCGAATTAGGTGACCAATTAGGATTAAACCTTAAGGGATAGGTTGCTTCTTTCTTTTCTTTTCTTTTCTTTTTTTTTTCACTTTTTGCAAAAAGAAGGGGGGTGGTTAGATAACAGGTTGCTTCTTTCCAAATCACTTAGTACAGTTCACACTTCTACTACTGGTGTGAGCGCACTACTTGAGGGAAATTACCTTTACAGTTCTGTCAGGGAAAGCCAACACTAAGGGCATGTTTGGTTCACGTGAAAATATTATTCGGAAAATACTCACATGAAGAAATTCTCTCATGTGGTTAGGTGTGAGAATATTTTCACACCAATTGGTCTCAGTGCATCTTTTCACTTGGCAGCTAATCGGTGTGAAAATATTCCTACGCCTAACCACATGAGGGAATTTTTTCTTCATGCGAACCAAACGTGCCCTAAGAGTTCCAGGTTAATTGGAAAAGTGAAGGAAATAGACAACATGATGGAGTACATTTAGTAATAGTTGAATATCGATCATATATATGCAAGAAAAAAAAACCATGCTTCCTTGACGATCAAATGCATAAAGTTGAGAACAAGAAAACATGGAAGAACAAGCAAAAAATGGAAATTTACATTGCAGAGGGGTTTGCAAAACTTAGGTGTTGAAAAACATCTCACGTTTTCAATCCCTACATGTCCCCCATGTTTCCCCGCTTCCCTACACCCACTCAGTGCAATCCTCCTCAAAGCCACTCTCTCTCTCTCTATCGCACGTTTTGCTGCTGTCCTACACTTCACCCACTCAGAAAATTCCTCCTCAAGGCCAAATTTTTTGTGTAATCTGCCATAAAACATTGGCTTAAATCTCTATCCAACCCCAAGACCAAAAATAGAGCAATATGGGACTCTCTGTCCTCTCTCTCTCTCACTTCTCTCTCTCTCTCTCTCTCTCTCTCTCTCTCACCAGCACCTCCCACAAAAAAATGGTCAGCCACCTCTTCCCTCCAAGTCTACCTAAAACCCCCTAAGCACACTCATCCCAACCAACTCTTCCTCCATCTTCAGCAACTCTTCCCTCCATCTTCACCCCAGAAACCCGAAGCACATTCCTAACTCTCCTACAAATAACAGGGTGATGTTACCTTCAAAATTCCTCTTCCATATACAAGGACCATATAAGGACCCCAACCCTCCACGTACAAGGACTCGTATACATGAAGCAAACACCCAAAGACAAAATCTTCCTCATCCTTCCTATATGAAGAAATTAAAGGGGTGACCAGAGCATCACAAGGGGTCCAAGACTTCAACTTTTCTCTAGGGTTTTTCTATAGCATCCAAAAGCTGGTTTTTCGGTTATTTGAATGATCATAGATTAATGATCAGAAAACCAAGCTATTCCTAGAACTGAAACAAACTTCTAAAAGGGTTTTTCAGCCAATAGAAGGCTCAGCGACTGATCTAGTGAGCAGCAATCGAAGGAATACAAAAACCGATCTTTTAATCAGCAGAAATTTCCGTAATAAAGGGATCAATTATAGAAAACCATTTTGTTTATTGGAGTTTTAATCAAAATTTCAAGTTTAGAAGTTCGCAATCAATGAATAAAGAAAATACCTTTCAACTAAAGTCTCAAAGCTTGACCAAAAATTCACACATCAACAGTGCAAAGAAAACTAGATATTCGACAAAGCATCCTCAGAATAGAAGCTTCCGAGATTGATCTGGAGATAAGAAATCAATTTGGCTCAAAAAACTTTTTTTTTTTCTTTTTTTTTTTTTTGGGTAATTCAGTGGGGAAGACAGGCCGCTACCCATTTTTTAATAGATAGGGGAGTTACATTTTGAAGGTGTTAATTGGGGGTGTCAGTGGTAGGAATGGATACCACGATGTGGTAATTGGGTGTGGGGATGCTACCACCACGACCCCAGCCCCTCCTGCTCAACCAACTTTTTCTTAACATTAAGAACACAACCCTCTTTCAGGTTTTCAGCACATTTGAGTCTTTTTTTTCAGGTTTTCAGCACATTTGAGTCTCAAAAGACTGATTATCAAAGACGAGTATGCCTAAGAATCCAACTTTTTATAGTGCTAGAAACTGACTCTCATTAGGACAAAATTGAAAGCTCAAAGATTTACCTGAGTTAGACCCCACTAAGCTTCAAAACACAATATTTTCCATTGTCTAGCTGAGTTGGAGATCTTTTAATGGGAATTCTATGCAAATTCTATAAGGGGTTCTAATGGTGTTGGGCACAATGCACAAGAAGAGACTTGGAGGGAGCAGGGGTGAAGCTGATCCTGTTTTATTAATAGAGCGAAGGCAGGAGGGGGTTTGGGAGTAGAGGAATAGGGAGCGGAAATGGCCAGCTAGGATGCAGAGATGGATGCAAGAGAGAGAGAGAGAGAGAGAGAGAGTGAGACTAGGACAGATTACATCAAAAAACAATTCACTCTGAGGAGGATTGCATGGTGGGGGTTGGGTAGAGAAGTGGGATACTATGGGGCCGCATGTAGTGTTTGAAAAGGCAGGATGTTTTTTGACACCTGAGTTTGGAGGAGGGTCCACAATGTAAATTTCCCAACAGAAAAACATAATACTCAGCTGGCAACAATGGCAATCCAAGGAAAAAATACTTGACAAATGTATCGATTTCAATTGCTCCATGACACCTTTTTTGTTTATTCCAGGTACAAATTTAAAGTTCACAACCAATCAATTCTCTCAGAAAAAAGTATAGAGAGATGAATGGACAGGGTGGTGTACACATAAAAAAAAAGTACTAGATTAGCCCATGGGGCATCATGTACAAAGGACATCACATTTTTAAAACAAATAATGACTCAAATCAAAACTAATTTTTCCTATAAATGTTACTCAAAAGTCAAAACTGTTGAAGAGTGTTGCAAACAAGAATTTCATCTGTGAAATAAGCGAGGAAAAAAGTTGGTTTGCATCAAGAGCGCCACAATGACCAATGTTTAAGATGGTAACACAGAAATTCTGATAAATCAAATGGAGAACATGATCTTAATGCATCAAAAAGTAAAAGGTTAAATATTCAGCTCCAAAAATACACTTACAAGTTCCTCCCAAGCATCTTTAACTTCTTCCTTTGCATATGCGAAACCATATCCAGGTAAATCAACTAAGCAGGGCTTTGGTCCAAGCTGGAAGAAATTAATAGTCTAAAAGAAACAAAATCCAAGTTACAAAGAATGTCACAGAGACAAACAAATGAATCCAAAAGATCCTTGAACTATATATTTTTACAAGACTGTTGAATACCTGTGTTAATCCAGGTTTATCTGATGTCCGAACCACACCCCACTGCCTAGTGAGTGCATTCATCAATGAAGACTTTCCAACATTTGACCTTCCTGTGTCCAAAGAAGAATTATTAGACCTGTTAATATGACCTCATAGTAACTGCACTGTCCATTCACCAGCAAAGCATAAGAGTAGCAATATAGGATGGTCTAGATTAAGGAAGGACTACTGGACTTGACCTCAGTGGGAAACTGGTATGAAATTTAAATGCCATTAGTAAGAACAAGTAACCATAGTTTGGTCCAAGACCTTACGGAAGAGATGAATGAAGGGGCACAGTTTATGTCATGAAAGGAAGACTTAGATGTACATAGGCATTGAGTCAGGAATTTAATGAGAATCAGGAAGGAGCATGCCAGCATCAATCCACCAACATAAACACATGAATGTTACACTTGTGCGCAAGTATCAACAATTATGGCATACTCAAAAACTTCAGCCACATTTGATTAGAAACATATTCTCGAAGCCACAGTTGTCACACAGGCATTGAGTAGGGAATTTAATAAGCAGGAAGGATCATGTCAGCATCAATCCACCTACATAAACACATGGATGTTGCACATGTGCGCAGGTATCAACAATTATTGTGTACTCAAAAACTTCAGCCACATTTGCATAGAAACATATTCTCTCACAAATGCTGATGTTTCTCGCCACTTGTGTTAATTAAATGCTGTTGTGATAGCATTTCTATCTAATATTTTAATGAGGGGAGCCACTCATCAGCAGACAATGCAGCACAGCTGTTTCAACAATTGCACAAGGAACATGCAAACATTACACATACTGAATCTGAACATTACATTAACAGTTTTCTATTGAGGATTTGTCTACAACCGCCAAGGATTAGGAGAGGAAATAACATGAACATATTACTGTCTAGTAATCTATTTTCTAAAACCTAAGAAACACACTCTCGGGCTCTCCAAGTTAGTAATCTAGTAGAATATTAAATAATGATGCACACTCCTCACATTCTCATCAAATAACTCCAACAGATATACAATAGACTCACAGAGTGGAAATTATTAAAATGCCTGAAATCAAGTCTTCAAATGACAGATGTAGCCGTCTATCTATCCTAGTCTGAAGCACCTAATAGATAAAGACGATAAAAGCCCAAATGCACCCAAAAACCAAGATATATTTGTCATAGAGAAGTGTTTGCAGAATCAGTTTTTCCAGTCATAAAAAGAGCAGGAACTGACATAAACGATCAACAAACAACCACTTGCACCTTAATCTTAAAATAAATCTTAGTCATCCACTTGCACCTTAATCTTAAATGAATCTAGTCATCTCAAAATTTCAAGACCATATTTAGATTCATTATATGATAGAAATAATATAAACTATAACACAGACACTTTTAAAGAATTTTGGTATCTAAAATTATAACATTCAGAAAGAGAGAAATAAGGAAGTGATTCTCATCATCATGCACAAAATAGTACTCAAATGCAATAGCAATCACCAACCGGCAAACGCGATCTCTGAAACTTCTGGAGGAGGAAAAGAGGAAGAAACCTTTGCAGCGGCAAAAAAGGTCAACTTGCTCCTGAACACCTATACAGACAACAAGTGAGCACAGACCAACAGCATATAGCATTTCACTGAAATTCATAGAGTTTCCCCAGTAGAAGAAAATTAACACATACAGGCACCAATATAAATGAAGCAAGAAAGTCAGAATTCTCATAAAAACTCGGAATTCTTACAAAACTTGCCACAGTTTAAGAGAGATATTTATAAAAGAAGAAAAACGATAACTTACTTATGTCAAGAACTTCCAAGAACTTTTGAACGCATATACAGACAAGCATGCACATACCAAATGCATAGAGCATTTCATTGAAAGCAAATAGTTTTTGCCGAAAGAAGAAAATAACTCACACAGGCATGAATAGGAATGGAATGAAGCAAGAAACTCAAAATTCTAATAAAACTTAATAATAAAAATATTTATGAAATTCCAAGATCTTCTTCTTTTCAAATGTCAAAAATTACAAAAGGAAAGAGATATTCATTCATCATGGATACCGTCCAAGATGAACCTGATGACTTACACAATCCAGGAAATTTCAGGTAAAAAGAAGAGAGAATTGAATAACCATACAGACCCACACAATGACCTGGTTGCTCAGAAAGCAATTGATATTATTTTCTGATTAGCAATCCAAAATAGACACATCAGGGATCTAGCTGGAAATGTGATGTGAACAACAGCCTCAACTAATATAATTGAACCCTACCGTCAAGGGAAAAGAAATTTAAAAATAACATATCGTGACCCAAATGTGCTCAGGAAAATCAAGGAAATCAAAATCAGGTAAGCAATAAAATCAGACTGCCATGATGAACCACGATAGCATATCGTTAAAAACCAATATTTCATAATATCTAGAAAGACCAATAACAATCATACATGCAAATGTACTACTGCCCTAATAGCAGGAGAACATAGATGACATGGAAACCACTACTACTCTATATGACCAAGTCCACTAAAATGATAATAGTATGAAGCATCCTACGTGTAGCCCTAATCATCCCTCATTAATTGGTGTTCAAACTCACACAGCAGACTGGGGAAACAGGAAACAAATCCACACTACTAATAATACAAGGTGAAATGATAAGACCTATATCATTGCAAAAATTTTGTGAAAAGACATACATGATCGAAAAACCTCGTAGCCGCAGGTATTCATCCAATATCAGATTAAATTCTTCTTATATTTTCCCCTTTCCTTTTGCGATAGGTCACGAGCAACATTAGGTTAATATCAATTACAGCTTTCTTAAAAATGCATGATATTTGCTTAACAAAAAAATAATAAAGTCAAAAAATTCAAAACAGTAATCCAAGAAGCCATACATTTTCTTCAATCTTCTCTCGTTCTGGATTGTTAGAGAAAGGAATATTATCTAAAGGAACAGGCAACTGAATATTGTAGCCTGCATTTCGCAATTCAATTAAACGCCTACGCCCCAGGAGCTGCAAACAACAATAATATGCTTAATTTCCCTAAATTCGAAAGCAAACAAAAATAAATATCCATTGATCACCCATTTTCATACATTATCTTCAACAAAGGAAATAATGTCTGGACTTGGTTGTATAGCACGAAACTGTGCATTCAGTGACAGTTGTAGTTCTTTCTCCATAGACTTCTCCTGCACTGAATGAACACAGAATAAGTGACAACAACATCATTGAGAAAAGCCATAAACCAATGAAAAGAGTTATGATTACAAATTATGCATAACCTGCTACAGCAATATAAATATAAGTCAGATATGCTATAAAGAACAATACCTATATGGAATCCTAGCACGTATTATCTCCCACTAGATCTATAAGGCAGAAAACATTGTGATAACAAGAAAGCAGCTGCAAGTTCCTCCCAAAATGCCACTCAACTTGGTTTACTTATTCACAAAAAAAAAAAAAAAATAATTGAAAAGCTGTACTCACGTTGTTGCGAATGCTAGCAACAGATATAAAGAATGTAGCCATGTTACAACTGATCAAAACGTAATTATGCTATGAATATATAATTAATTCTCTGGTAACCAAAAAATCAAAAATATTCAAGCTATGATATATTGCCATGAGAAGCTTCGGAAGCAAGAGATAACCGATTGAATATATAAAATGTACGCATACTACTCACCTTTAGCACAAAGCCCATCATCTTTATGCTCCTCATTGCCATCAACGAGACGCTTATTCGAGATATCATTGGGATCCAAACGAATGACCCTTTTCCTTTTCTTTGGCTGATCATCAATTATAGTTGATTCATCATCTGAGCCTTTTTTGCGTTTGAGTTTACCAACACTGTTCAAAGCTCCATTGCTTAGCTGGTTTTGCTTATCAGACCTCCTAGAAGGCCTAGAGGAAACAAGCCTATGATCCACAAATTCCTTTGAATTTGATTCAATGGCAGTCTTCTTGTTAAAAGACTTTCTAACACCTTTATCACTCGAATATTCAGAGCTTTTAAATAAGTTCTCTCTTTTTGGTGGCCTGAACTTGTCATATTTTCTCTTCACTCGATCAGATTCTAGGTTAATAGAAGCTTGCAACCCTTTGCGATCAAGACGTGATGACCCAATATCTATCTTTTGATCAGGGTGCCACTCTGATAATTTACTCGTGGACTTTGAATGTGCCCTATTCAATGGCTGAGTTTTCTTCATAGGTGATTTTAAAGCTTCAGAGCTCTCGCCTTCTGCATTGGAAGAAGCACTGTTAGCTGCATGTTTAGGCTTTGAAATGGCAGACTTTCTCTCTCTAGAACTTTTTCCCTTGTAATTATCAGTATCATAACAAATATCCCTTGTTTTACTTACTTTTCCCCTTGCCAACTGTCCAGTATAAGTAGAACACACTGACTCATCTGTTTTCCTATTTCCATTTGCAATTTTTACCTGTTTCTCTTCAGGGATTTTCTTCACCATACCAACCCTTTGAGCTCCAAGCTTACTTGAGGAAGAAGCAGAAATCGATTCATCATTTCTCCCTTTACCATTTGATTTCTTGACTGGTTTCTCCGAACCTGAAGAGATTTCCCTCACTCTACTAGCCTTTCGACCTGAATTTTTACTTGAAAAAACATCAGAACCTGTTCGATCACTCTTCCCCTCTCCATTTGATTTCTTTACCTGTTTGCTGTTGTCTAGGATTTTAATTTCATCCCTAGTGTTGCCTTTGTTTATTGAAGCAACAATTTTCACTTTACTCTTGATCTGCTTCCTTGAATTTATTAAATGGGGCATCCTCGGAAGCAACTGAGTCAATTCACAGAGATTTGCATAAATCACTAAAAAATCTCAAAAAAATTTAAAAAAAGCATACAAAACACGTAAAGGTAACGTTCATTTTCTTAAAAATCTGAAACCCTGCGTCTAAAACAAGGAAATAAAAAATCCCAACACACAAGTTCGCATCCGTAAAAAAAAAAATATATCAAATATCAAATGAAATATGTTGCAAAAAGACAAGTAAAACGAAAATTGCAATCAAAAAGAAAAAAAAAGATAAAATAACATTGAAGTAGGAAAAAAGCAGGTTACATGAATCAGTAAAAGAAATGCTGCAGGAAAGGAGCTTCAAGCTTTTGATTTGTTGACTTAAGACATGGGTAAAAACCAACGAAATAGAAACCGCATTGAATTCTTTGTATCAGTGAAAATGAAACGAACGATAGCCATTGCAGAAGGAAAGATGATCGGAAAAAAAAAATGCACAAAAATGACAAAAAAAAAACTATAGTCATTAGAGGACGAGTTACCCGAATGAAGTTGCATGGAGCAGTAAAATAATCGCCCTTATGAATCTAAGCTTTCATTTTCGGAGATAAGTTTTTAGGGAAGAGGTTTTAGGTTTTTGTTTTTGAACCCAGCCACACTGGATCGCGGGAATCACAACTCGTGAGTGACGACTTGGAGGGGATAGTTCGGGTATTTTCGAACGAGGAATGGGCCCCTTCAAAATCTTCCTGGTTTAATTTTAGCCAAAATATTGCATGCTCTGGAGGAGTATATTGTTCATTTATTCCCTTGAAATCCAAATTAAAACTATTTTGTAGGACACCGATTTTTGTTTATATGACATCTTCAACATATGCTATACGCAATGATTATTTTTTTTCAATTGCATTCTTTATGAGCTTGGAAAAATAATGCCTCCAGGTTGAATAGAAAACATCCAATTTTTCGAGGGGTGAAATCTAAGTATTTGAAAGCTCAAAATTCAAAAATTTTCTTTTGAATATAATCCTCTAATAACTTTAAGATGGTTCCCTAAATTTTGGATTAAAAAAAATCTTCATAAGTTAGTCTTTTGCCTAAGGAAATAAATGCACAGTATATACCCCCGAAGGAGCATAACATACATACTCCTTAATTTTAAATGTTAAAATAAAAAGTTTATAAAGGGCTGCACGTAGAATTAAGGTGCACCTCAATAATCCATCGTACGATTTTGTTTTGATGCTTCGGATTGATCATCTCGGCTTTTAGATGTACAAATATAAAAAAAATAAAAATAATTTGGTCCCAAATATCTTACAATAGATTATCGGAACTATCTATTTTTAATATTTTCTTATGTTTAGGGATCTACTTTATTTGAACCTCATAGTTTAAAATCTTATAATTAGATATAAAAATAGATTGTCATGATATCCTAATAAGTTTTTCACACCAAAAATATCTTATGATAAAATTTGGATGTGCCCCTTAATTTGATTGTTTAAGGTTGTACCCTTATGCAAACTACACCCATTCAAAAAATTTATCAAATCATACATAAGTCTTCAAAAATAGTAACCTGAATTGGGAATTGCCCAATTTTGATAGGTTTTGGTGGGTGGGTGATATGGTCTATAACCCCTTAAGTCGCTCGCTTTTCAGTGATTTTTCTTGATTTGTTTTTATTATTTTATCCAATTCAGTGAATCTAGATCACCCGATTTGGCCAATCTAGATAGGTTCAGCTAATCCAAATTTGATTCCCAGTTCTAAAGCATTTATTTAAGGAAAAATATCTCATTATCCCCCATTTTTAACTTCATATCTCATGGGACCCAATAATTGAAAATATTATTTATAAGCCAAAAGTCATCATCTTTTTTATCTTACAATCTCGTGGACTCTTTTGACCATAAATTTTTTACCCAAACAATACTAAAATGACACCATATTCAAACTCCATCTCAGTCTCTCTAAAACTCCATCTCCCTCTCTTCGCTTCTCGGTGAGTTTACTAATCAAGGGGTTTAGCTTGAGCTCGAACACAAGCACACCTTCTTATGTGTGTGAGAGAGATGAAGTTTTAGAGAGAGAGATATGGAGTTTGGGTTTTAGAAAGAGATGGAGTTTTAGAGAGAGAGATTGAGTTTGAGTTTTAGAGAGAGAGATGGAGTTTTAAGAAAGAGAGAGACGATGATGTAAGAGAGATAGATAGAGTTTGGGTTTTAGAGAGAGAAAGATGATGATGTGAGAGAGATGGAGTTTTAGAGAGAGAGATAGAGTCATTTCATGAGCTGGTGAGGTCAATAATACATGGTCAAAAGGGTTTAAAGGGTTTGAAGATAGAAAAGATGTAGTCATTTTGCTTACAAGTAATATTTTCAATTATTGAGTCTAATGCGATATAGAAGTTAAAAATAGAAAATAATAAAATATTTTCTCTTTTTTAAAACTATTTAAATCTCACTCAAATGTGTTTGTCTAATTTCTAATGGCCTTTTTATTAGATGGCCTTTTTATTAGATGGAAATTTTTTGAAATGATTACATGGAAATTGTTAAATAGTTTTTCTCAAGAGTAGGATTTGGTGAATATCCCTAAATTTTTTCAAGGGGCACTTGAGACTCGAGATTGGGAAGATGCACCTAGCACACCTAAACAAGAGCCTGAAATGCGAGATGAACCCAAGATGCTTGAACTTTAATAATGGACAAAAATGGTCGTAATTAAAAATGTTATTGGAAAGATGAATCTGACATGCTCCCCCAAATATCCATTATTTGAAGTTGCTAGCTCCAAGATTTCATTGTTGCATCCAAACCTATTGTTTTCTTTTATTTTTCCTAGATTAACTCTACTTCAGATCCTAGAGTTTAAAAGTTGTTTGAAACCATTCATCCCAAATGTTTTCATTTATTTTTCCTATATTAACTCTACTTCAGATCTTGAATTTCAAAAGTTGTTTGAAACCTGTCATCCCATATGCTTTTCTTGTCAACATAAGCTGACCCTGAAGGAGTCATCCAAAATCCCAAACTAAACTATAGACATTCAAGGTTTAAAGTACGGGTAAATTGAAAAAAATATAGAAATGAATAAAGAAAGGGTATGAATGTTAAAAAAACTCCAAGACATGAGAAAAGAAAAATGAAATTATACTTTAACAATAGGGAAACTATTCTTCTACCCACTTTCTTGAGAAATGGTACTGCACTTAAAAGGGGTAGAACTCATATTGAACCAGTCTCATCCAAGGGCCAAAAATATATTTTATTTGTTATTTTTTATTTAAAAGATATTAACGTGAAATTTGAGCTTTAGTTTTATTTTTATAAGTAGAATTGAATAAAAATAATAATAAATATTTAAATAAAAAGTATTGATCAAAATAAATTTAGAGATATTTTGGTTATTTTTATTTAAAAATAATCTACATTTTAAAATTCAGATAAATATATTATTCAAACAACAATAAAAAGAAAATAAAATATTAAATTTTGTTCATTAGATATGGCGTTGTCAAATATCAACCATTGGGATAAGGAGATAGACTTTTAAATTTTTTTAAAAAGGGGATATTAGCATAAATTTCCCTTTTCTTTTATGTTTCTTCCTTTATTTTATTTTGGTTGAATTTTTATTTGGTTGATCCAACTGAATATGCAAAAAAGAAAAAAAAAAAAAAACTAGATATCAATTAGTAATACTAATGTCAAAAAAGATAAATGAGTATCAATTTCTAAGACCTACCTATGCCAGAAAAAAGTAAAAAATAATTAGTATCAATTTGTAGGACCACTGCCAAAAACATGAATGGGTAACAATTTTTAGGACCAAGGTTAAAAGGATTAACAACATCATGTTACGCGAGCTCAGATGAATTGTTTGTTACCCATTGTGAGTAACAGCGTTGAGAAACCCAATTCCCAACAGTTCACTCATAACTCCTCACCGCTCGTCTGCACTTGAGTGTTAAGATTGTGATTTATCAAGAGGCATTTTCCATCCATTACTTGATGTGGGACTAAAGGGACTAAACACTCCCTCTCCCTAACTATTTTTGTTGTTTCTCTAAATAAAAAGAAAGAAAATTGTTTCATGCAGGCTGGACTGCATTTCTACATATGTGGTCCAAAAAGTGTAAAGCATCCATCTTAAAGATGGATGCAAGTAGGTGTTCCATCTATAAAAACAATAGAAACTAATGGTTCAAATACTTTCTTACTATAATGATTATTTCTAGTATTTAAAGTTTATTTATTTTTTCATACTCATGGACTCCATGTTAGAGATTACATATCCTTAGAAATGAAGTCTTAAAATCCATCTCAAAAAAATAGATTTATTAAACGTCATTTATTTCTATATATGCGAGCTTGGCCACATAGAAACTGGGTCCTAAAAAGAATAGTGTTTATTGTCATGTATGCTTGTTGTGCTAACTCGTTGGAAATCAATCACATATGAAGAAGAGGTTAGAAATCGATCGTGTTTTAAAACACGAATCTCCATTTATAAAGGCCAGGATCGATTAATCGACCAAATTGACAATCATTATCATAGTTTTTTTTTCAATTAACTGGGGTCACGATTACTCGATCCTGACCTATCCAATGGAGATCCGTGTTTTAAAACACAATGAATTTTTCAACTTTTCTTCACATGCGATTGATTCCCAACGAATCGCGCACGGCAAACTGGTCAATAATCACCTATTCGTCGCCCTCTTTCACTTCACCAAGAGAGAGAAAAGGGATCATCAAAAAGAGAGAGAGACAGAGTTTAGTCCCACATCAAGTAACGGATGGACAACGATGATCTTGATAACCATAATCCTGACAATGTTACAATCGAGCGGTGAGGAAGCAAGAGCAAACTGTTGGGGATTGGGTTGCCTAACGTCGTCTTCCCCAAATGGGTGATAATCTGCTCATCTGAGCTCACACGATAATCGTATACCATCGACCTTACACAAAAGGTGTTGTTATATCAATTTTTATGATTTGAGCTCATCGATAACCATTTTAGAAATCCATGCTAATTTTAAACCATTTTAGAGATCCATGTTAATTTTAACGGCGATGATTTGAGCTTATCGATAACCATTTTAGTGATCCATACTAATTTTAAACCGTTTTAGAGATCCATGCTAATTTTAACGGTGATTTTTTAAGATTGTGATCCATTGGGATTCTATACACATGAGTGAAAGAGGATCTTTTGGGATCATTACTCCACGTGATAATTACTTTACGCAAAGGTGTTAAAATTTGATATCAACTTTTATAGTTTTAACTTTTGACAATGGTCATTGCCTAGCTTTTTTTTTTCTTTTTCTTTTTTTTTTTTTTTGACACAGGCAGGTCTTAGAAATTGATATCCAGTTCGTTTTTTCACGGGCATTTTACGAATTGATACCAAGTTCAGCATATAATATATTTGGAGCATATTGTATAACAACTCCCTTCAGTAAAATAGTAAACTGGGTGGAATTTTTAATCTAAAATTTTTTAGTTGTTGCGAGTCTGTATAACTTGCTCTTGGAGCGTACCATATAGCCCTTAGTAAAAAAAGCTAACTTGAGCAGATATTTTTCAATCTGAACTTTTGGAACCTAAATATCATCTAGAAGGTATTCGAAATACGATTTTTTAGAAGTAAATATATTGTATGCTCCCGCGGGAGCAAAGGCTCTATTCACAATTC